TTATTTTGATTAAAATTGGATTTCTGTGTGCTGGATTCACTTAAAGTTGGGGTGTGTGAGGGTGAGGGATGCATTGAAATGGCCAAGAGGAGTTCTTGAAAATTCCTACATTAGTGTGTGTCATCTTTATAATGGAATTGCAAATGCTCTGGGAGTTCTATTTTTTTTTTTTTCTTTTTAACAAAACCAAAAACCATGACTCACCCCCAGGCTGCTCCCAACGGCTTATCCAGTGTGGAGGGGCTGGTGGTTCCAATACACAGATGTGGAAATAAAGATTCCAACTCATATACAAGCAATCCAAAAAATGCTTGCATTCTAACGAAGAGATGGACCATAAATCAGTAAAGGAGCAAATCCACACTGGGGTAACTTGCCTAAGGTCTTTGTAGCTGCTGGAGGACAGTATGATAAAGGAATCTCGGGCACATGGTTCCTGCCCTCGGCAACCTTGTGGCCCAGATGGGGGTGTAGTTAGCACTGTGTCCCAGAGTGGGGCCCGGGCAGAATAGGGAAGGGTTAAATGGAGTGGGCCATTGAGAGGTGGAACAAGAGGTCATTGGTCATTGTGTGTTGGGAAATTTGGACAAGGCTTAAATAGGAGGCGGGGTTTGAGCTACACCTTATATTGTACTGGGTCTTTGCTCAACTCTTGTTGGAAATGCTTAGAAATGCTTGGAATGGAATTTTCTTGTCCCACTGCCCAGTTGTTTGGACAGAAGTCTTTTTTTTTTTTAATTTTCTTTTTTTTTTTCCTTTTTTTCTTCCTTCCTTTTTTTCTTTTTCTCTTACCCTCTCTTCTTTTCTCCCTCCCACTCTTCCTTCTTTTTAAAGTTTTTGCAATTGATGCAGTAGCAGGAACCATAAATATGTGCTAAGAGCCAACACTACATGGCATTTTGGGGCCACTGTCCCTCCCAGACCCCACACTGTGCTTTTTCCGGGTGCTCTAGCCATCTGAGCATCGACCACGGTGGCAGTGGCTGTGAGCAAAGGCAAAGGGTATTGCATTGCCCCTGGCAACGCAATCTGAACCCACAACAGGAAAGTCGCAAATGACACCTAATTCTTACAGTCACGCCCAGAACCTGGGATCATATACCCACCCATGGATTAGGAAACTGAGATCTGGATTAAATAACACGTGGATTGTCTATGGTTGGTGAGTAGGACAGAGGCCGAACTCTAGACCTTGGGTTTTTAACTGTGACCTCAGGCTGCCAGCCAGTGAGGCTGTGGCCAGATACCCCACAGGGCTGGCAAGCATGTGTAATTACCCAGCCCAAAAGGAAGAAGACGACTCTCTGGGATGTACACAGAAGTAGATGTGTGTGTGGACACATGTGCACACGTCTGTCAGAGTGTGGTCCTGGGACCTTGTTTGAAATGCAAATGCTCAATCAGACAGAGTGGGCGTAGCCCTCTGCTGTTTACAAGCCCTGGGTGGGGGTTCCTGAGGCCACTTAAGATTGAGGAGCTCCACTTTAGGTCAAAAAGAAAAAACATCTACTTGAGGGACAAAGCCACAAAGACAAAAAGAGGTCGGTTTCCTCCCCTGGGCTGGTGCCAGTTAGACCCCAGTGCGCCCCTCCAGCTCAAGGATGTGGCCTCTGTCCATCGTCCAGAGCGTGGCACTTCCTCAGCTCTGCGCTCTGGGTTAGGCTGGCTGTATACAGTGTGAACAGATATTCGGCCCCTGCCCAAAGGAGGGCCGCAAGCACTAAATGTCTCGGGCAGGGTTCGAGGGAGGCTCGGGTTCACAGGAAGGGAGGTGCTCAGTGAGAGAGCAAGAAACGCAGGCTGAGACCGCAGCATGGGTGGGCAGAGGGGACAGCCACCCAGGCAGGTAGAAATCAGTGAAAGGCCCTGGGGCAGAAGGAGCTCGCCAGAGTTGGCACAGCCAGTGGGGAGAGGTAGATTACCAGGGCCTTGGTGGCCACTTTTTGAGCACCTTCTGTGTGTCAGAGACACCTGGAGGACACTGTGCATGGCTCCACGAGGACCCGTCAGCCCAGGAAGGATGCACACATGGCTGACCTCGCCGGCCACCCAGCTGCACCGTGGGTGCCGTCATCCTGTGACAGGGCTCTCCCTCACCTTCCTCAGCTCTGCCTGCATGCGTGCCACAAAACAGGCGCAGGATACCCTGCCGGGCTCTGAGGCTGTGAGGGTCTCGTTGGAAGTTGGGCAGTCGCCCTGGGTGAGAAGGTGGGAAGGTGCCAGGCTGCCGTGGGAGCAGGCCGCGTGATGAGATGAACCCTGGGCGTGGTGTCAAACAGGTCTGAGCCCTGCCGGCTGCCTCCTGCTGGGGCCTTGCGCAGGTCACAGGAGCACTCAGAGGCTGTTCGCGAATTTACACCTGGGCAGGCATCTCTTCAACGTGACTCCAGGTCAAATTCAGAGTGGAGAGAGCGTGTCAGAGCAGAGCTTCCCACGTGCCAGCGTGGGCACACATCCCTGGGGACTTCGTATGAGGCAGGTTGTAACTCAGTAGGTCTGGTTGGGCTAAGGATTTGTACCTGTGACCAGCCCCCAGGTGATGGCTGGAGTGCCCCAGGACTCAAGCAGGCCCCTGTGCACAAGCCGGAGGTGCCCGCCTCCTGCTGGGCCCACTTCTGTCTGTCCCTCCCATGTCTGGTCCTCCACTGAGTCTTTCTGCAGTGTCCATCCTCAGCTGGGCCTTGCCAGGCTTGTCATAACCTACCCAGAGTCACTGGAGGGGACAGGCCAGCAGCTGGGGCACAGGGCCACCATGAGGGGTGGCCTCTGTGCTAATTGTTCAGGAGCCAGAAATCCATGGTTTTAGTGTGAAGACTCTTGATTTTAAAATATTGGACTGGAGTAGCATGCTCACACATACATACACGCACACACGCACACGCCGATCAGACTCTGCACATCCGTAAGCTGAACTCAGCCTGTGGACCGGGCTGCCTAATGTTTGCTACGCCAGCTACTAAGCTTCTTCCTGGCAGCCTTGCTGTTTTTCCATCTCCGTCATAGTTTCCTTGTTCCGCTCACCTACCTGAATTGTCCTTGCCTTGCTGGCAGGGCTCACCCTTCTCTCTCCTGTTCTTAGAGCAGTCTTCACTGCCTGGCTGGACTGTTGCAGGCTGGAGTGGAGGGCAGGGTGTCGGTGTAGACTCTGGAGCTGACCTGCCTGTGTTGAATCCAGCTCTGCCACTGTGTGGCCTTGGGCAGGCTGCTTAACCTCTCTGGGCCTCTCTTTTCCCATCTGTTAAAGGAGATACTGATGGTCCCTCCTTCTGGCCCACAGGGGGCGCTGTCTACATGGAGTCGCTTGTGGTCATTATTGTTTCAGTATCAGGTGGCTCTTCCCTGGGTTTGCCTTCTGGGGGAGATTCAGCTCTGTGCTTCTGTTTGGTCACGATGCTGGCCCAGGCTACCTTGTGCTTTTCTGTTACTTTTGCATGTTTCTTAGTTGCATCTGTCTCCTGCACCTGCGGCAGGGGCTGAGTATCTATCTGTCCCTTTGCACTCCGCAGGGTGCCTGGAGCAGAAGTGGTGGCCAGGAGACTGGCTGAAACCGTTGCAGGGTTTGCCCTCTCCCCTGTGCTCCATGCCCCTGTCACTCAGAAAAACATTTGGGAAAATGGGGAAAGTTTCCAGGGGGTGGGATGGAGATTCTAGTGTTTTAAAGGTAATAAACCCTGTTGTGCTGGAACAGAGAGCAACCGCCCTGCCACCTGCTTGATGGTAGTGAGCCTGGGTCGCAAAGCCTGGGCGCCCGTGGGCTGTGGCTGCAAACCACACTGGAGACCCTGGTGAGGGCTTCATGTGGGGTTTAATGTGTGTGCGTACACATGCCTGTGCACACACACACTCACACTGATGGTGGATTTGTTGTGTAAATCCATGTCAGCCACGAGCCCCTTCTTCTCAGTTTGTCTTCTTCTCTTCTACTTTTTTGGCATCTCTTCTCTTCTGTTTTTCTAGTAGTTCAAAGAACTTTCCTTTGTCAGTTACTAGTATTAGTAATCCCTCCCCCCACCCCCGGCATCTATCTTCACTTATTAAATGTTTGGGGGTATAATTTATATATGAGACACTGGGGTGACCCTGAGAGACCACGTGGGGTGGCTGCTGACCCCAAAGCTATTCACAGGACTCACTCTTTCTCCACACAGCTGGAGCCTGTGAGAAAGCGGGAAAGTGAGTCGTGATCACCTGGCTTTGGGGTGGAGAAGGGCTGGGCATTTGCCAGCACAAGTCAGGCTCACCTTTGAGATCAGTGGATACCGAGCAGGGTGTCAATGCATGTGACCCAATAATCCCCAGGTTTACAGTAAATGGCAGAACTGACCTTCTGTTTCTGCAAGCAGTCATATGATCTGAGCTTGGGCAATGGAGGGCAGGGGAGCAGAAGCTTCTGGTAAACCAGGATGGCATTTCCCTATTGTTGAGTCACATCTTGGAGCAGGGGCTGGTTTCCAGGATGCCGGTCAAACACATGACAGGGCACTTGGCCCCTCATCCCGGCATGCACCTCCACCCTGGGGCAGATCCCCTGGGTACCGGGGAGCAGCCACAGCAGCCGTGCACTGGAGCAGGAGTGTCCTGTTTGCACCGTGCTCTTCCCAGCAGCACGGCCGTGGTGCCTGCCCCTGGCCACACATCAGAATCATCCAGGAGCTTTGAAAGCCCAGGCCCACTGGGGGCTTGGCCAGGGGTGCCAAGGGGAGGCCAATGTGCAGCCAGGGTTGGGACCACTGGCATGAAGTGAGCACTTCAGAGTATTGGTGGGAGATCATCTGGCACCTGTGGGATTGTGCTTGTGTAGTGACCACCTTTGTTTTCACAGCTCTGACAATCACCCTTCTCCTTGCAAAGAGGTAGAAACCTCTCCTCGGATAAGGGCAGAGTCCCTCTCAGCAGGTGCAGAGCAGGGCTCCTCAGCAAACTAGAACCCCCCACCTCCTATCTGGATTCTCGCTCTGAAGGCGCCAATCGTAACATCTGCAAAACCTGTTTTTGTACAGTCAACTGCTTGGATCAGCATGTCCAGAAGTCCCCTGAGAGTGTGGCTTTGATCTGGGAACGAGATGAACCTGGAACCGAAGTGAGGATCACCTACAGGTACGGTGTGTCCCCTGGTGGGGTCTCAGCACCCAGCAGGCAGCCTGGGCCGCCCGTCTGTTTGCTGGGACGACATGCCAAACACCCTCGCTGGGCCAGTTAACAGCACGCAGGATCACCCAGCTTGGGAGGAGGCCAGCCTTCTCGCCCACTTGGCAGCACTTAATGTCTCTCGATTCCCACAGAAGGAACTGGGGCTTTTGAAACAAACATCGTGAACGTCCAAGGTATAGAGGAGGCGTTTGGCCCAGTCTCCCATGCCTGTGTTTGGCTCTGGGGGAGGGATTGTCTGAGTACCAGGGAGCGTGTTTCAGCTTTGGAAATGTTCTTACATCCCAGGAAAAGTAAACACGACACAAGCTGAACAAAATACGTGCTGGAGTAATAAAACCAGCCCAGTCCACTCAGCCTGCCCCTCAGCACCCTTATGAGAGTGGGACAATAAATACGATTGTCTTGGAACAGTTTTTACTAAAAGCTGATGCTTCTGATATTTCTGTTCTTTGGATCCTTAAGCAGATTGCATGTGCCGAGCACCCTTCTGGACACTGTGCGTGCGACGTGGGGCTTAGGCGGCCCTTCCCAGAGCTGCTTGCCGCAGGGGACTGCCTTGCTTAGAGGCTTTGAGGTCGCTCAGTGCAGGATGTCGGCTCTCCATTAAAGCCCTCTTTGCTTAGGGCCCAACTTCCCTTACGTGGATATCTCAGACCCACGATGTCCCCAGCTGTGTGCTTTATTGCCACATCTCTCCGTCTACCCGCAGCACTCAGGTCACCAAGTGGCCGCTCGAGTTCACTAGCAGTTCAGCTGCTTCCCTGTCACTGGCACGGAACTGGGGGCTGCTGCCTCGGGAGCGGTTCACCAGTACAGGATGAAAACCCTGAGGAGCTACCTGGACACCTGGAGGCCCAGCAGTGAGCAGGTCCAGCCGTGGTGCTCCCCAAGGGCTAATTCCCTTCCGTCACTGTCTCAGGTGGGCCTGGACCCTGTGGCGGGCAGACCGTGTGCAGCGGCCCCTGGGCTGGACGCCACCACGCGCACACCGAGTTAGCGTGAAGCGGCCTCAGGCCGTGTGAGCTGGGCACGGGCCAGCCTGCGGAGACCTGCGGTCACATGCAAACCACGTGGGGCTTGCCAGGCCTGCAGCCAGTGCGCCGAAGCAGCCCTGGGCCAGAGACAAATTTGTGAGCACAGCAAAGTATTTATTATTCTCTCTCTCTCTAAAAATAAACAGACACGGTCCAAAACGGTTTTGCAGAACTTAGCCAGGCTTGAGACCAGGTGACTCTTTCTACTTAGTGTTTGAGTGAAAAGTGTACATACAGCCAGTATTTGAGGGACTCAGGTTAATTATTTTCTTGGTCATTTTAGGTTTTGACATGAGGTTTTCTTCTTCCCCTCTCCAAGGAAAGCCCCCGACACTGGCGCTGGTTGTGCTGCCAGCAGACTCACGCTGCCACCGAGCAAAGTGCTTTCCTGCCCGGGCCCTCATGTGGTGGCACCCAGGGTGCCTCGGGACGGTCACAGGCCTTGTCAGCTGGAAGATCAAAGTCCAGACCCATAGTTAAAGAAAACCTATGGACTGACAAAGGTTGGGATGCTGGTGGCAATTGCAGTTTCCTGGGTACCAGGAGGCTTGCAAATGGCCAGGAGTCTGTGTGTCAACAAGCCCCAGGGGAGTCTCTCGTGACCTGGAGAAAGAAACTCCCAACTTTCGGCCTCACAGGCGGCTGGTCAGCAGGGGCAGCTGCACCCCTGGGAAGGCGCTGGCGGCCTTTGCCCCGTGTGTGGTGGGTTTGCCGCCTGCACCTCCTCAGGTCCTTGTGGCGCTGGGTCAGCAGAAGGCGGCACATTCTGGTTGGGCGCCATCCTCCTGGCTGGTGACCTTGGGAAGTGCACGATCTCCCAGGGCTTGATTTTCCCAGCTGTACAATGGGGGCGGGGCGATTATCATAACTGATCACACAAGGAGAGGAGGGATTGGGATGATTATGCTGTGGCTACTGTTCATTACTTACCATTACTTACCTTCCAGTACTGGGTTAGGCATCTTAACTGGGCGGCGAGGCTGGGCCTTGGCCGGTGCTGGCTGCGGGACTCTGGAAGGAGGAGAACCTCTTCGACTGCGCTTTTGTCCAGCTGCCTGCTTTGTAAATGCAGTGCTCACTCCCCACTGGGAGGTGAAGGGGCAGAAGCCCTTGGCCTTGCAGGGGCTCATCCTGGGATGTCAGTGCCCATCTCCCAGGAAGAGGCAGTCTGACCCGAGGCCAGGGCCCTGGCTCCATTTCCAGCCTTCCTCTGCCCAGAGCCACCCAAGGCAGCTGTTCCCCCTAGTGAACCAGTGGGCCGGCAAGCCCTGGGCAGGGCACAGGCTCTGGGGGGTGAGGGGGGTGAGGGGGGTGCAGACAATCTGGGGCCCCCGAGGCTGTGTGGCCATTCAGCACCCTGGGCAGCAGCTCCCTCTGACTGTCCACATGCGCTTCTCCAGCAGGTGCCAATTTTAGAAGATCGTCTTTCATATCTTAGTTTAAGTGGGCAGATTCTAGAGAGCCTTGGGGGTGGGCACACAGAGGAGCAAATTCCTGTCTTTCAGGACGATGGTGGTGGGCCTTGGCAGATTAATGAGGCTCCAAGACCTCTGCCTGCCCGGATCCTGGGGTGCCTCTCCCTGCCTGGAGTCTGGGAGTCTGGGCCAGGGATTTCCAGGCTGGGGACGGACCCGGGGCATGGGGAGCAGCTGGGGGCCCTGAGCTGGTTCAGATGCTCTCAGTCCATGGGGTGAGCCCCAAACAGAGGAGAGAACAGGCCATGGGTGCCAGGCTGAGGGTGTCTGCCAAGGCTCCAACCAAGCACATCTCTTGCCCAAGGATCTCGGCAGAGGGGTCTGGACTGGAACTGAGCCAAACAGGGGCATCTTAATCAAGCCAGAAGACCAGCTTTTAGCTCTGGCCAGCCCTGTGGCCTCAGCCTCAGGCCTGTCACTCTGGGCCTCAGCGTCCTTGTCTGTAAGAGAGGGGAGAGAGCCTTGCTCCAGCCCGGTGGGCTGCGTGCAGCGCGGTGGCACAGAGCTGGGCCCCCGAGCATGCGGTGAGGAAGCAGCAAGGACAGGCGCCACTCGGCCTCCCCGCGAGCTGAGTGCAGTCCAGCTGTGGAAGCTACTCCTGGAGGGGTGATTCTGAGGCTGTTTAGTCCCAGCCTTCTTACTGGGTAAGGTTGTACACAGGCAGAAACCCCTATCCAGAGGAGCAGAAGGGACGTCAGGCCTCCCTGACCCTGCCTGCCTTAGGGCCCCTTGGTGGGTGCCGGGGATTGGGGGAGAAGGCTTTCTCCCCAGGCAGGCGTGCTGGGCCGGGGACAGGGGAGTCTACACAGCCTGGTGCCTGGTGCCTGGTCTGGAGGCCCTCAGGGAAGTGCAAGATGGGCCTGGCCCTTAATCTGGGAAGAGGAAGCCACCTCCTTGGGAGGCTTGTTTCTGCCCTTGGCCTTGATGTCTTTACTTGGCACTTATGGAGGTCACAGAAGTGGCTGGTCCTGGGGGACAACGGGAAGCGGGAAGTCCCACCATAGACACCTGGTAGGAGAAGGCTTGGGGAGAGTTGAGTTTTGAGAGGCAGAGGAGGGGAAACGTGATGAAGGCAGGAATGGGGACGGGTGAGCTTTTGGCAGCGTCACTGCAGACACGGTGGAGGTGGGCAGCCATGCTCCACGCTGCCCTGTCCCCTGGCTGTGGACCTAGAGGAAGAATTGGCTTAGCTGCAAGTGGAGTCACGCTTCTCCTCCTCTGTGCTGCGGAGTGTCGAGAGGGACACACGGAGCGAAAGCCGGGAGCGGTATCTCGGAGGACGAGGGTCTGTTCCAGCTGCAGGTGAAGCGAGGTCAGCAGGGATTCCAGGCCGAAGAAGAGCAGGGCGCCGGGCGGCCCTGTGGCTGCTGGGGCCAGGAGGGGTGGGGTGGCGTTTTCAGGGGCCATGACACTGAGTAGGATGTCGCCTTGGGGAAACGAGTGTGGCAGCTAAAATGCACCCCTGCCCCAAGTCCTGAGAGCCCGATCCTTGCACCTTGCTCTTCTGCTGCCCCCAGATTAACTCCTTAGTGAGCAAACTCCTCTGTCAAAGGTTTGTCTTTGTGTCCGTAGAGATCTCTTGGATGGGGACTTTTCTGAGCTTTCCCTGGGGCAAAGTGTGGCAGAGGCTTAATCCCTCTTAATCATGCACAAACATGAGCAAACACCTCCCTTGGAGCTGGAGCCTTGCATTTGTGAACCCTCTTCTGCCATAAGAGGGCCGCTGGGGAGCCAGGAGCAGCTGGCTGAGGGGAGGGGGAATCGTGGGGTGGGGGTGGGGAGGGCTCCCCAGGGGGAAGGACAGGCCTCTGATGCCACCTCTGGTGCTGGCTGCTGCGTGGAGATGACAGGCCTTTGTCAGCAGCAGGTTTAGAGAGACAGCGGCTAAGCCTGACTCGCAGCTTTGCTGTGGACTCGCTGTGGCATCCTCTGGCCTGGCAGTGTCCAGTTCCCATCAGGACAGCCCGGCCAGCACAGAGGCAGGTGGGTGGAAGCTTCTGGCCTGGCTTGTCCCCCACTGGCTCTGCCTTCTCCCCCAGGGGGTTGCCTTTCTGTTCCTCTGTCTTCCGCCTCCACTTCCTCCTGCGTGCTAGGCAGACACAGAGCGGAGGCTAGGCAGACACAGAGTGGAGGCGTCACCATGGGTTAGACTTGGTGTTCAACACATGGAATGAAAACCAAAGCCCAGACAGAAGCGAGTGTGCCCTGTGGCCGGTGCCCAGTGCAGCCCTGGCCGGGGGCTGTGGGGTGAGGGTGGTCACACCTCCTGACTGGGCACCAGAGCTCCTGGTTCCCTGAACCCAGCCTGCTTGCAGGGCTGGACGGGGGTTCCCGTGCCAGCCCCCTGTCCTCCTGAAGCCACGTGGTGTCTCCTCTGTGTCCAGTCTCTGGCCTTGCTGCCCTCACCCCTGTCTCTCTGGGCAGGATCGGGCACTGA